TCTTTGAGGCGCATGAGTGATGATCTAATGCATATTTAGTAGCTATGACGACGGTAACTTGAATAATGTAGATACAGATGAATGAGACTCAGGGAACATGCGAGAAACCCGAGACATCTGGTGGAGAACTCGCCTAGGCCGACCCAAATTCCACATGGAGTGACCGGGCATCGAACCCAGAGCCAAGTGGTGGAAGGTGTATATCCTATCCATCACGTCAAGAGCTCCCTTACACGTCGAAACACATTCCAAAGTGATTTTGATAGTGACGTAATATATAACACTATATTGTTTATCTTTAAACATTTTAATGGAATTTAGGGCCCCTTCAACAGTCGCAATGACCCGGACAACTTTCACAAGGATCGGAGAAGCTGGCTCAGGGCATCAACTGATGTCACTGCAGTGCCTCTGATTGGGAGGTCTTACGTTCGAGTCCCGAAAAACGAGCGTTTTATTCTATCAAAACGTCTCACACTATTAAAATACATTTGTATTTTCCGCTACTGGCGTGCAGAAAATCTCGTTCGTTCACGCCACAAAACGCTTTGATTTTCGGGATGCTAGGATATGCGGTGTGCGCGTTTTCTTCATCATCTCCGTCCGATTGTCCGTCCGCCTGGCTCAGTCTGTTAATCCGTCCGTCTGTTGGGGAATAATACTAGCGCCTAAATTACTAGTAAGAATTTTGAAAAAATAAACATTGCCCGCTCAACCTAAATTGGCAATCTAAAATTTCTTCATCATCTCCGTCTGATTGTCCGTCCGCCTGTCTCAGTCTGTTAATCCGTCCGTCTGTTGGGGAATAAAACTAGCGCCTAAGTTACTAGTAAGAATTTTGAAAAAATAAACATTGCCCGCTCAACCTGAATTGGCAATCTAAAATTTCTTCATCGTCTCCGTCCGATTGTCCTTCCACCTGTCTCAGTCTGTTAATCCGTCCGTCTGTTGGAGAATAATACTAGCGCCTAAATTACTAGTAAGAATTTTGAAAAAATAAACATTGCCCGCTCAACCTAAATTGGCAATATAAAATTTTTAAAAAAACTTTAAATGTTGTGAATACTTCCCACAAAGCCTCTGGGACATTTTTTCTAAAATTGTTGCAAATTGTTTTCTTAAATTTCTTGCAAGAATAGAATAAAATATAATTATAAAAATCGCACAGGTGCGATTTTTCTCAGTTGTTCCTGAATTTTTGGCAATCGCCAAAAGGTGGAAATTGTTGATTTCAATTACAACGTTGAAGACAGTAGTTTTTCTTCAAATAAAATGTGTTGAGCACAATTATTTCTTTTATTAATGCAATCTCCGTCACGGAGAGCTCTGCCCTGCCCTGCCCTGCGGGGCGGGGCGCGTGGCGCACTCACGTTAATGGTGGGGCCTGGCAGCTGGCGGTCGACGGTGAGCAGCCCGCGGGCGAAGCCGTCCGCAGCCACGCAGCCGCGCTGGAAGCAGTCACTGCTGTTGGACGGGCAGTCGCCGCACGCCCTGCAACGGCACAGCATCCGTTCAACAAGGTTATACAGCAATTACGTTGATGTATGGGTACGTAATTTAAGTACCCCTCTGACAAGTACACCGAGTAATTCTATAATCAATAGCTACAACCAATAGATTCGGGGGAGGGGCATGGCAACAAAAGGTTTAGGAAATAAAAAAGTAAAATGGGAAAGTGCAGGATAATAAAAATAATTTTTTAAGCTTCCTTTATTTGGCAAAATGGATTTCAATATTTATGTGTTAGAATTATTTAATTATTCAAAAATAATATTTTAGAGTATAATATATACAATTTAATACAAATATGTTTATTATTTAACAAAAATATATGATTACCCTCCCCCAACAAAAAGATCGGCCGGATACGCCCCTGGTTACCACAGCACATACTACTTTTTTGCAATCTTTTTAAATTAGCAATTTTCGAAAGTTCGAAGAGTTCAATTTAAACGAGACCTAAGCCATTCTTTTTAGCCTTCCGTGAAAAAAAAATTGAAGAAAACTTAAGGAGAAATTGAGAAATTGTTTTTTTATAATTACATTAATTCTAGTCAGAAACTGCGGGACAATTACTGTCAATTGTATCAAAAATTCCTTCATTATATTAAACTTGTTCCCGCTACTCAGATGGGTGACAATTTAAAAGAAACTGCAACACGGTGTTTCATTCAAATGGTTAGTAAACATACTGCATTCCTTCTACTGAGAGCAGCCCAACCCTGGCGTTCTCAAAGCCGGAGCCGGTTGGCAAATAAGATTCACACTTGGTGCCCGTGAAATATATTTAGCGTGTGTGACCTGCAATCTACTATTTACCGGCGGACCTCGTGTGTGATGTTTGCCCCGTTGTGATAACTAGTCATCTGGTCATTACAGTACAGATCCGAGATATTTAGAGGCCGGAAAATTAATGCAAATTTTCTGTCATGTTCCTCAACCAGAGATATTGTTTACGAAAGTGAGGAACGGACGAGCTAATCTTTACAAAGCATCTGATACCCGACACAGGGAGCGATTAGGTTGAGGAGGGCCGAGCACACTGGTAATCAGAAAGAACCATTCAGATTTAACAGAAAACGTACAATTAAAATGAATAACATAGAATTTTATTTTAATAAATATTTGATTTGAAGAATATTTTCCCTTACAAGTGACGGTGTGTGAGATGCCAGACCTTGTGCATCAATGCAAGCATTTGAAGTGCGTGCCATTTTCGACCTTCGATCAGTCAGAAGTCGTGCTCTTCCCTCTGCTGAGTCCGTTGAACCCTCGCCCGCAAATGGACTAAGGGGGGCCTGTAGCCGCTCTAGGGCTCAGTTGGAACATCTTGGCTCAGACTTCCGCACTTCTCCCTCGACCCACTGATTGTTTTTTTTTTCTTCATGCGGCTTTTTCCGGGATGCGGATTTCGATTATTCGCGCCAGGTACCCACTGTGTTCCTTGAGGAGAAACATGTGAACCTTTATACGCGACACCAACACACTGCGGGCATCTCTTTCTGTAGTCATCAGAACGCGAAGCCAAACATGAAAGCCAAGGAACAAACAACTTTGCTCATGGCGGGACTCGAACCCGTAACCCTTCAGACCGAGGCGCTGCGCCGGCTCACGCTCTAGCCACCTCGGCCAGGTGAGCCTCTCCGCCCACTGACAGACTCTAAAGGCAACCAGCGAACAGGCGCTAAGTCAGCAAAACAGTATTCATCGGACTAGGCGACCTTTTTCCAATCATCGATGCGTGATAGGTTGTCACAAGTACGTAGAAACAGGAGTAATAAATTCGTATAAATATAAATACGAACAATAGCAACAATGGGAGAGGGAAGAGACACAAGGAAGTGAATTTTAATTAGAAAGAATACAAGGGAAGGTTAAAAGAATTGATAGTGGAGAGAATATAGAATACGCGTGGGAAATACAATTATTAAAAGGACACGTGAGCAACTTCCGTGGGCGAAAAAATAAATTTAAAAAATTCTTACGAAAAATAACTAGAAAATAAACAGACACGGTGCAAAAGCGTAAGTGACCAATCAGCAATTAGTTCGTGTGCGAGATATCGAATGGTCGGTGCCCTTGAACGAAGAAACGCATTTGAGTACAATTCGGCGCAGGGCAGGAGACAGCTGAAGAGAGCGCACTCAAACATAAGAGGCAGATAATGTTTGGACGCAATAGCGTTCGGAGGAGACGCTATTCTAACGCGGTAGGAGCCGAACGTAGAGAACGAGATGTTTCGAGTCAGTAATATTTTTTCTAATAAGTAATGAGTAGGCAAATCTGGGAAGGGAAGATAATTGCGAGAGTGGAGATCGTGGATACTATTGGAGTGGACCAAATGATACGGAAATGAAACTGAAATGAAGACAGAAAAACGTTCAACAATGTAGTGGCTCTACGAAAGGAAAATAAAAAACCGGGGAACAATTTTTGTATTCACCATTACAGGAAGACAAAGTATAGTATTAAATTAAAAAGTCTATATTAATAGTTAAAAGGGAAAATAGGCCATTGCGTGCAAAGGGGAGGGCTTTAGAAAAAATATTATAAAATTATTATAAGGAGGCTTTATGAAAAATTGTGTTTATGAAATTATTTGTATTTATATTAAATAGAATATTTGGATATAATATGTATGTTTCACAACATAATACAGGTGAAATGTTTTAAACCGAAGTAAATATTATTATTTCTGAATAGCAACAAAGAGAGTTCCTAACTGTTTAGGGAAGGAATAAGTAATTATGATAGTTAATATTATGATTATTTTGGAAAATGTCGATAAATTCCCGACTCGCGAAGCCAGGAGAGGATTTATCTGAGAATTTCCAAAGCACGAGTGTATTTAATTGGACTATTCTACGAGTGAAATTATGTCCAAAAGAATTCTAAAATTCGCCAAATATTGAAAATAACTGAAAGCGTATGTTAAAATCCGAGGTCTTAAAATAGATTAGAATTTATGATTGACCAGTAGGTAGAAGCGATAAAAAATTCTGATAGAAAAAGCGATAAACTTTTAGAGATACACCACCCTCATTGTGGCATTTGTATGTACGAATAGTTAAACACCATTGGTTTTCATTTCGGTGGAATTGTAATAAGCAAATATTTCGTCACCGGACATCTGTATAGTCGGTCTATCAGACTCATATAAATTTTTATGTGACGAGGCAATCTTGGTACAATATTCGGGCTCTGTTGGGTGAAATTTCAAATAGTAATTTAAGAAGAATAAGTAACAAAAGGGTACCAACTGTTACTCATCAGATATCATTATGTGCCCACTACATGCTGCTCTCGGTGCCTTGCAAATAGCATGGGGATGAGAGTAGGCCTTTGACCCCGCAGTCTCATTCACAATAGAGTTTGTTGTACTGTGGGTTGTGAAACAATAGGGACTTTTTACATAGAGTAGCGCGCAGTAGTCGTCAGCAACCTCATCAACTGCAGATGAAGTCCGATACGGAAGAAGTTCCGAACTATGGCGACCTAGTGTGGGGTAAATTCCCTTAACGCCACATCCTCTCGATTTGGGTCTGTTCGACCAGAGCATTTCATCATACTTATATCTGTGTATATAATTAAATTACATAAAAATATTTTATAAGAAATATAATCGTATATACAGATAATATTTACGGATTAAAGCCACATCATATTGTTGCATCGTGGGGATATAGAATTAGCAGCACACACTGCCATCACAGTTGTGTATTTTTTCGATATAAAATGACCGAGTGATTGATTAACATGCGAGAAGTCGCCCGCTAAATCCGCTAAATCCGATTCTGCAGACGCTCGGAACAATGGACGACAAGAGTCCCTAGAAACAGAAATGATAACAATTTGTGACATTATGAGGATTTTCTAGAATATTCATATGAGTTTGGGATAGATCCATGGTTCTCAAATAACAGAATACCACACAGTTAGAATTCTCCTGACAACTGGATATAAAATGGCGAGATCGATGGAACAATGTAACGCGCTACCCTCTGTGTCTAGGAACTCAACACGCAACAGCCTCCGATGCCCTCTGATATCAATGCGCCGAGGTCGAGAATATATGAGGGTCATTTTGTACCCCTCGTGGCACCAGGCTTAATTTGTACTTACTGCAACTGCGTAACAGCGCCCCAATTAAATGAGTCGTTTCAGAAATACTGGCGCCAAGGAGCAGCCATGCCATCATAATCGTCAAACCGATCGCACACTTTTTCCTATTTCACGCTGCAGACTATTCTATTAGCCTTTGAAACTGCCCTATATTTACCATATTGCCAAAGCATCTAATGTTATCTTCCACGTTCTAAGCCCAAAATTTCTTCTCGGGTCGGGTCTGGGTGATCAGTATAATTGCTAATGGGAAAATAACTTTTGCAGTCCAATGCTATAACCTTCTCAGTGTTTCGCTCCAAATCAAAGTTTGAGCACTACTAATTTAAATTATCTATCATTTTTGACCTACAACACCTATAAGAGAAGTAAATTTTGTGCCTTCCGGTAGTGGAAAGTTGCGTTGGGAGGCACGCAACACGAGCCCTCTGGTATGCCACGTGGGTCACTTGGTGGGAAAGGAAAGAAAACTATTTTCGAGATGGTTCCTCTACGCTACTCGTTTCCACGGTTTATCGCTGAGCATATCATAAAAACGTACCATCTACATTTTTCTCAGGGGCTGCCTTTAGAATTCGTTGTGATCACGTTACTAATAATTATCAAGCCATCATCTTGCATTCTTTTCTGTATAAAGTTCGCGTTCACCAGTTTCCACGTTCCAAATTACGCATCATGGAGCTTTCATGTTTGAAAGAAATAAAATAAAACTCTATTCTCAGTATACAACTTGGTGTATGGCTGTGGTAAGTCCAGCAATTATATCTTAAAGTTTCTTTAATATTTAAAATATTAAATTTCTTATAGCGAAGTCAAATGTACTATGATGTACCGGTCACACGTGCTTTCCAAGAAACAAGAAAAATCGT